CCCCCCCGCAAATGTCTTACAAGAGAAGGGGGCAGGGGCAGGAAGTCCTGGGGATAGTCATGTGCATCATCAGGGGAGCCCTGCCCTGAGCCCCGGATGACCTGGGGGGTGGGCTTTCCTTTCCTGGGCCTTGACATTGTCTGCACAGTGGGAGAGTCCCTCACCTGGCTCCCCCGTCATCTCTCTTCCCATCTCTTCCAGCATAGGGTCTGTCCCCAGGTGGATGAGGGTCTTGACTGGGAGCCCCTGGGGCCAGGCTGGTCCCCTCTTTCTCTCCAGCTCTGGGCTGGGGCTCAGGCCTGGCCGCCGTTCCTACCTCTTTGCCGGTCTGTGGTATCCACAGGGATCTTTCCAAGCTCGCCCTGGGCCTGGGGCAGGCCAGCTGAACGTTGTGTTGACTGTCCCTCGGGCGCGGCTCCTGGAACAGGCATGCGGATCTGCCTGGGGCCCTCACGTGGTGCACCCTCCACCTGGAAAGACCTTCCTCGAGACAGTGGGCACCCCACTGTCTGAGTCCCACGAGGGCCTCGCCTCTGAGCGTGCCTGCCCTGCTGGGTGAGGTGGCCGGTGCGTTACTTATTTATGGGTCCCCCCAGGGCAAGGGTCTGTGGTCATGCTTTGTATTAGTCCATTTTCTGTCACTTATAATTGAACACCTGAAACTGGGTAATGTAAAAAGAAGCAAAATTTATTTCTTACAGTATCAGAGGCCGGGAAGTCCACAGTCCACGGGGTGTGTCTGGTGAGGGCCTTCTTGTGGGTGGGAGCTCTCCACAGGGTCCCGTGGTGACCAGGGTGTCAGATGGCGAGAGAATGGCAAGAGCTCTCCTGTGTGCTCCTTAAGCCACCAGTCCATACCCGAGATGACCCATGACTCCATGACTGGACTAACCCATTCACGAGGGCACAGTCCTCATGAGGGCGCAGCTCTCACGATCCGGTCACCTCTCAAAGGCCCCACCTTTGAAATGCCATAATCGGACTTCCCACCCTCTTAACACCACTACAGTGGGGGTTGCATCCAACACATGACCTTTTGGGGGTCCCATTTGACCCATAGTGTGCTTCATGCCATGTCCCTAGCAGAGGGTCCCCTGAGCCACGGCCAGCATGGAGTAGGCAGCCAGGAGACTTATATGAATGGGCAAGGTTTCCAGATGGGCTCTCTGGACTGAAGAACCCCTGTAGCAATGGGTTTGCTGGTTTGGGATGACCCCAAGCCATCCCCTCCTGCAGGAGCCACATCTCCACACTGTGCCCACTCTGGATTGAATGTGTCCCCCCAAAGTTCATGTGTTGGAAACTTGATCTCCACTGTAACAGTGTTAAGAGGGTGGGAGACCCAATTGTGACATTTGAAAGGTGGAGCCACTAGGAGG